ATTATTCCTTTGTCAAACCAGAATTGTCTACATTTAAAACCATTTAACTGAGAAAACTAAATTGATTCCTTTTGTTAAAACTGACATAGGCCAAAACAATACTTTGGTCAAACCATCATGTTCCTAATTATATCTCATGTCTTCTAATTTAGCATCACTTTTCTTTAAGCAGCTTCATGCCTGGCAAGCAAAGAAAATGGCCTTGATTACGAAGGTTAGCCATTGGTGAATTTTATGGTAAATCTTATGACAAAAGTTCATTATTAGCAGCTCATGTCTACAGACTCATACATGAAGTGTATTATTTACATTTTACTAGAGTAATATATCTATATATAGTTATATTTACTATCTAGTAGAACCAAATATGATATTTGTGGTGTATATTTACAGTGAAATGCAATAAATTTGTCAATGGTAAATAATTGTTTTTGTCGTCTTCTTTCATTTTGTAATGATTGAAATTATATGGATAATTGTAGTGATTCTTTGGAGTGAAATATCTTCATTTATAGTATTCTGTGTCTTACCAGTCACATTTTTGTGACTTTCTTTCTGATAATCAAATTATTGAGTGTTTCCCCCCCACCTGCCATGACTTGGAGATTCATGAATACACTATTACTTATATATGTATCCAGTAAATGGGACTTGCTGTAATTCTTGGTCCTATCTGTGAAGTGAAGCTTGGCACATTCAAAGATCCTCATATTTGCACCCACTGTGTGAAATATGCATTTGTCTCTGGAATGGGTTATCTTGCTATGGTGCACAATGCAATATATCCTGTTCAGATCATGTTCATTCTTTAAACAGCCATAATTTTACTGGCCTGAACTCAGAAGTTAGAACTCATGTTTTCCAGAGACCTTCCAATCAGTAGCGAGCACCACAACATTAGTTATTGAGTATTTGTTGAACATGGATTACATATACTGTGTTTGAAAGATAAAAAATTGTTCACTATCTTCTTCTGCTGTTTATTTGTCTCAGTACTGCAGTGAATTCTCCCATTCCTACTGTCATACTTAATTTACTCGATACTGTGAATGTAATCTGGTCTGACACTCTGGTTTCTCTCATCAGCGTTCATTGCAGAGTTTTCTTGAGTATTCCCACTACCTCAGTCTATCTTTTGCCATTTCAGTGCCTATTCCTCAATCTGTTGCCCATTCTTTAATCTGTTTCCCATTTCAGTGCCTATTCATCAATCTGTTGCCCATTTCAATGCCTATTCCTTAATCTGTTTCCCATTTCAGTGCCTATTCCTTAATCTGTTTTCCATTTCAGCGGAGATTCTTAATCTGTTTCCCATTTCAGTGCCTATTCCTTAATCCCTTTCCCATTTCAGGCCTATTCCTTAATCTGTTTCCAATTTCAGTGCCTATTCCTCAATCGGTTTCCCATTTCAGTGCCTATTCCTCTTTCTGTTGCCCATTTCAGTGCCTATTCGGTGATTCTTTGTCTGATTTATCTCGGATTGTATATTGCTATTTTCTGTCTGTTATAATTATTGATACCAAAGTTTGTCAAGACACAGTTATGATAGACCCTTAAAACTATTTGAGATAGTGTGTCTCAGTTGTAAGTATGTAATTACATTTCTAGAAATAGAACTCTAAATTATATAGTTTTAAAATCAAGTTAAGCGAACATTTAATGCATTAAAAAAACAACATTCTCAAAAGGTGAATAAATAAGAGAAATGTATGGACAATCACTGGTTATCAACAGTGATAAGACAAAGAAGATTTGCTATATTGGACACATCCTGAGAAGAAGCGGGCAGAGTATCACCAGACAGGCACTTAAATGAGAAGCAGATGGATTGAGGAAACATCCAAAAAACCTAAAGAATAATTGATGAGAGAGGACAAAAATGCTAGACTGGATTCCATCTATGACAGCAACAGGAGTGTAGAGAATAAAACGGAATGGGAAATATAATGGCATAACAGAATGATGATGATTACATTTCTATCCATTTTGACCAATCAGAATGTGCATTTTGGTCATTCTTGAAATTTCAGGATGTATAAATCATACATTTTAAAACTAACTCTAATGTCCCATATTCTGTCTAGATTAGTGGTCTCAAACCTTTGCAGCCCCCCACCCCCCCCCCCCCCCCCCCCCCACCCCAGTGGAGTATATGGCAAGGCCCCCTCCCCGTTTTTTTCCCACTCAACATTTCAAACAGTGTGACTTTTTTTAAAAAAGAGGAGTAGTGTGATCTGAATCTATAATTTTTTTTTATATCAAGAAACCATGAGTACCTTTTGGCTCGGTACTATGGATACCGCAGCCCTTCGGCCCTCATTCCATGATAGACCGTAAATCTGGGAGAAATGTGCCTTTTCTGCCTACCACCAGGTGTGAACCCGGACCACAAGGAGTTTGTCACCCTGTCACCGCGCAATCAGGTTTAACCGAGCTAGCGAGCCAGGCTCATCTGTAATTAAATCTTTGTGTTATTAAACTAATTACGGTGGATGTCAAACTTTGAAGCATTATTACAGGTTTTCTAAAACAAAGTCTTACGACGAATTTTTGAACCCATCAAAGATGCAAACAGTGGGGAATAGATAGTGACAGGCAATAACAAAATTCATAATCTGTGTAAATCACCACTGATCACTGGCATGATGAGATCTAATAGACTGAAATGGTTGGTCACATTAAAGGAATGTCAGATGACAGAGAAGTAAAAACTGTATACACGAGGGAGATGAATGGTCGTAGACCATGAGGCAGACCAAGAAGGAGATGGAGAGATAATATCCAGACAGACCTGCAAACACTTGGTGTCACCAAATGGAAAGAGAAGGTGAACCAGAGAGATGAATGGAGGTGGGTGATATTTGCAGCAATGAACCTCAAGGGCTTGGAATGCTGAATAAGAAGATGTTCAAACTCCTTATGAAAACAAAAATCTTGCTTGGCCTTTTTGTTTTATAAATAGTTTAAAATATTTTTTATTTTAAAATTAATATGAGTGAAAAATTGTTAGTATAATAGATTATTAAAAATATAGTCTATTAATTTTCAGAATTGCTTGACACACCTCCTGGAACTTCCTCACCCCCTCCCCAGATTAGAGACCAGGGATCTAGATAATCCATGGCAGACAGGTTTTTTTTTTTACAAGCAGAACATTATATATGTATTTTGTTGACAGTATTAATCTGTAGGCATGATCCTCATCAGACTTATTGTATGCAGCTGTGTTTGAAGTGACAGCTGTAAGACCTTGATGATTACCAGTCAGATTAAATTATGTTCAGATTAAATTAAATGCCTTTTCCCCAATGAAGGTTGGCTACAGTGCACCCACCGCTGTCTTTGGGAGTATTACATGATGAGGTAATCTCTTCCATGGTTCGGCTCTCGTAACTTTGCAGAAGTCACAGGAACGGTCCTTTTTTTTTTTAGATAAACTTTCTTACTTGACATTGAACCCTAGTACTTTGGGGATCATGAAATTATTATATGCATTTACTAATCTTTGAATCACAGAGCTGTACAGCTGAATGATAATATGGGCTCTGTTAGCTACCATAGATCTGGCCTCCTTGGTCGGTTTACATAGGTTCGAATCTCCATCAAGGCAGATTAAAATTAAAACACTGCTCTGGTCTCCATGGCTTCCCAAGCATGAAAGTATTCTCTATACCTGCTTCACTGTGATAGAAACATGTCATTTTCAGGGTTCAGTCGGTCAGAAGACAAGTAGTACTTAGTAGGTAAGTCAAGAGATCCTTTTCATGACTTTGGTATATCGGCATATTTTGCTAGACACATGTATGTTTTACAGACTAGTCGTCGCTCGATAAGTGGTGGGGTCAACATCGTGACAGCAGCCACCTATACTTCTCAGGATAATACCCGGTTCCTATTTTAGGTTGGGATTCAAAGTAAACTTAAAAAGTACCTGATTTACAACAGGTATATGCTGGATGTTGTGGGGATGGAGAGTGCTAAGATAGGAATTGCCTTGAATATTTAAAAAAACGGAAGTAACGGTTATATCTGGAAGAAGAAAACACTACACTGTGTTATCTCAGTTGAAGGGAAAAGACGTAACCAAGTCAATTATGCAGCATACATATACAAATTAATAGAGACTCCTTGCCTTTGAACCCAACATATCTGATTTAAGCAAGTTTCTAATTAGTCACCCTCTACGATAGGCTTGTTAGTGGGAAGTAAGTCTGCCCCCCCCCCTTTTTTTTCCCCCAATGGAGCTTTGAAACCCCTCGATGACCATAAATGTCGAAGACCACGATATTGGACAAATCATATAAAGCAAACGGTAATTGTACCCCAGTAATGTCACTGCCCGTAGGATTAACAACTCTAGGATAATAATCAAACAAACGTAAATCAAATCACAGGAATCCCTTTCAACCGCATAATACCATTAATTCAGTTATATTAGGGACTAAGATTATTACAAAGCAACCTGCAGACCAGTGAGGGGCTATGATAATATTGATTGAGTATTGATTTTGAAGCACACTCAAGAAATTAGCGTTAATAGATAAAATAGCGGGTAGGGAGACTACAGCATGGGGAACAGCTTTAAATAAATGAAGACCAACTTATAAGACGCATAAGATAAAAGCGAACACAAAAGATCCCTTATCCCTCTTCCCCCCCCCCCCCCCACAACTCAATGAAGCACCTGGAGAAAAAGTTGTAGATGTAGATTGTATGAAAGAGAGCAACAGGCTTCAGGGAGCACACACACACACCCCCAGAATCCCTACAAATGTCGAAGGCCAGGACGTGACCAATCAGAGCGCAGAATCACCTGCAGTTCTCCAGAGTTAGTCAGTGCACAGGTTTCCTCCGGGCCGCCGTGTTTACTTTAATTCTTTCACTAACAAGCAATCGCTTCTGCTAGTCGCAGCGGAAATTAGTTATTTACTACATCTCTGCTAGAGAATTATTAGCTTCATTTTCATTTACTGGTTATTATAGCTGTGAATTTATTAATCATGTTGAGAGTGGTGGCTTCTCCGGCGAGGCCGAACCACATGCGATCTGCTGCAGTTGTATGTTTTCCTCGATTCAGCACTGATGCTTCTGATAGCGAGCCTAGTTTCTTTGAACAGGTGGAGTTGTTTTATGATAAATCGGCGGCGTTGCTGCAAGATAAGCTACTTAAGAAGGTACGGGGTAGAAATATGTCGATGGAGGACAAGAAGAAGGTGGTTGATGGGCTGTTGTCTGTTATCAAGCCGTGCAACAATGTAATGGCTGTCAACTTCCCCATTAAGCGAGACAACGGCAAATATGAGATGATCGAGGCATACAGGGCACAACATAGCCAGCACAGGACCCCTTGTAAAGGAGGTAAGACTCGAAATAAGTGTTGTGAACAGGGTAAAAGTAATTTGTTGGAAGTTACTGATACCGTCTATCTTAGAAGAGTGAAGTGGAATGGCACTTCACAAAAAATACTGACTTGTCATGTGTGAATTTATTCTCAACAGAATACTCAGTGGTCAGTGTGGCTGGCTTTGAGTATTATACTGTGATGACATGACAGTGGTCAGTTGCTTGTCTCCCCTTCTTCTTTTTCATCTTTTATCTGTCTTTATTCTCCTCCTTCTTCTTGTCTTTATCCCCCAGTGGAGCACGTCCTACTCAGGCTAAGTCCTCTGACTGGTCCTTATTGATTGCAGCTGACCCCATGTCCTGAGGTCTTTTTAACTTAACTTTTTGGGTCCCATCTGGCTTTTGTGTGTGTGTGTGTGTGTTTTTTTTTTTGGGTCTGCCTTTGTTTCTTCTCCCAGCCCTTACATTATTCCAGACAGAGGCATGATTTGTATGTGTGAATAAATACATATCTTGCTATTTAATTTAGGGCCAACCTCCAAACTGTTATGGTCTCAGAGCACTCACCCCCTCCCCATAGTATTCTCCTGTCTCATTATCATCTGCACTTAATTCAGGTCTCCATTTTCTGTTGAGTGGTAGGTAATTCAGGTCTCCATTTTCTGTTGAGTGGTAGGTTTCAGATAATTGATTCTTTATTCTGGTTAGTTTTAGAAGTTTAGTTTTCTTCAAAACTACCATTACTTCTGTTTTTCTGCTTTTCAAACTATGACTCTTGTCATTTCCATATATCTTCCATATATTTTCTGATTACAGTGATGTAATTAACAACTGAAGATTTGAGTACTTCTGTGAGGACAGGCATGCAGAGTGCTTCACTTCGGAGGTCACGGATGAGATGAGGACCATCGTTTGGATCTTTTCTCCTGATATACCGGCATGTTAGGAAATGAACAGATAGATAGACTGGCTGGCTTTGCACACCTTGGTGGAATATTGATGCATGATAAGGCAGACGTGGTTAGGGCCTTATGGGAGAATGTGTACAATTCGGAGGAGTAAATGGATCACCACATTCTGGTGATAGTGATGCAGTGGGGAGTAACCAGGGAATCTGACCAATACTCGACACTCAGATAAAGGACGAGACAGATGTATAATTAGAATTCTACTGGCATCATTGATATTGGAACACTGCGCTGGCTGCTGAAGATGGGGAATGCCCCGAGTGCTGTGATATCGGTTCTTGAATTAACTCAACCCATTGCTCTTCTTACAGTCCATGTTGTCTGGTAAAGTAAACCTCTGTTTACAGCTTGTTGTCTCCAGTCATCTCTTATACAAAAAATACTCCATTCCATGCCATGATGCCAAATTAACTGTCCAACATCTTTTCTTTTCATCTCCCTCTGCCTCCTTTTCCTTTCAATGTTTCTTGCAATACTTGGATATTTATCTTCATACCTATCTATGCACAAATATAAATCCATTAGTCTTCTTGCTCTGCCTCATGGTCAGTTATCTGCAGTTATCTCTTTATATCTAGACCATTGTAGTATATTGGGCCTCTTGATGCCAGTAATTAGTGGTGATTTCAACATTATGATTTTTGTTGTTGCTTCTCTCATCTCATAATATGGTTATTTAAAAAAGTAGACTGCTTTCTTTCATTTGTAAGTTAAATGTATTCATCAGTCTCTTGAAATTTTTAGCTAAACAGCTTTTGATGTTCCATGCTATTTTTGGAACATCATCACATAGGAGGTTCTCTGCAGAAAGCTAATTAAAGTTGAATAATGCCACTTTTTATTTTTAGTGCTTGCAAAATAGTTTGTGATTCACATCCATATGTTGCTAGTGGAGTTTTTAAAGTTGTTACTTAAGTTATTTCCTGCTTTTGGGTCATAGGTGTTTTATGTTGTGGTTAAAACTAATTAGGATCTTCTTTGCATTCACTGCTATAAACTCTTTTGGTAAGTCTTGACTTGGTATTTTTCCAGAATTTGTGGGATTTACAGGGTTCTGGGTTTTACAGATCTTTCTTGTTTGTGTGCATGCTGTTGGTTCCATGTCTCTCAGGCAGATGCACTCCATCTTCCAACTTCGAAGATGCCCCCAGTTAGTCTATTCCTACCACAAGCTTGTTCGGGAGGCAGTGAGTGTTCTTGTTTTTCCCACAATGAGGCCCGGGAACCTACATGGGGATATAATTATTTTATATTGCATACTTCTCAGAGCCCAGTGTTTCCCAAACGTTTCTTAGTCGCAGCGCCTTTTTTCAATTAAAAAAATTTCCGCAGCGCAGAAAATTTGTAAGAGATTTAAAAACAAAATGGAGTATCTTCAAATATTTTGTGCCGCCCCTGTGAAGAGGTCGTCGCTTCCCAGGGGCACAGTTTGGGAATCACTGTATTAGCCTATGTTTCCTGTTCAGAGTTCTGTACCTAATATTTGTCACGCAGGTATCCGTTACAGTATGGATGTAAATCTTGATGAAGTGAAAGCCCTGGCTGCTCTGATGACCTACAAGTGTGCTGTTGTAGGTGTTCCATTTGGGGGTGCTAAAGCTGGTGTGAGGATCAACCCAGCAGAGTACTCATTAAATGAGCTAGAAAAGATTACCAGGCGGTTTACTGTAGAGCTGGCCAAAAAAGGATTTATAGGTAACATCTGTTGTAGTGTAATACTTGAAATAGTTGAATATATTTGCATTTAATGTACCACAGGCAGATTAATTGAAAAATGATACTGTGTTTCTAATGGTGTTGTTGAATTTATACTAGATTAACACACTTTATAATATTCATATGGTTAGATGCTTGCCTGCTGACCCAAAAGCTTGAATCCGCATTGAGACATGTTCTCAGGTTGATACAGCCTAAAAGGGGTATCTGAATATGCCTTCTGTGTGGGTTCTGGGGCCCTGTTATAGGGAAAACAAGAAAAGACGCACTGCCTACCCAAAAGCATGTAAGTCAAATCATTGGGAGCTTCCTTCAGAGTTGGAGTGCATCTGCCTGAGAGGCAAGGAACAGCGGTCTGCATACAGATGAGTCAGATCCATAAAACAGATGCACACGCAACACTCAGGTTCTGGAACAGGACTGCAGTCCAGAAGTGAATAAACAACCAGAACTTTCAGCCAGAGTTGCAAGCTGGTAAACACGAAGAAGAAGAAGAAAAAGAAGAAGGTGCCTTGGGAAATAAAGGTGTGTGTTATGACCACATCACTTGAGTGCCAATTATTCTATACAAATATTTCTCTGGCACCATATGCTTGATTTACCAATGGTGTAGAATGTCTTTTACTTTCCTTGTTAATACGTCTGGTTAGAATGCTGGCCTGTATGTGAGAGACCTGGGTTTCAATCCTCAGTAAGGTAGGGGATTTTTTTCTTTCAGGGGCAAACTAAAATCCTTGTCTACACAGTCCGTGGCGACAGCACTAGCCCTAAATCCTCTGGCTCAGAGACCACAAAAGTTGTTATATTAAAGGCAAAAATTGGCAGTTTAATATCCATGTGGGATATAATTTATGAATTTCTCTTCTCGTGTTTTGTATGACAGAGGTTAGGATGTCAACCTCAGACTTGTTGCTCTGTTCAAATCCAAGCAACTGGGCATATTTATAAGAAGCGTTTGTATCTCTTGATATCACATAAACTCCGATTTCTTGGCCAGAAAGATAATCAGTCTAGGCCTCTTAGATAATGGGGAAAAACAGAGAAGTCCTGTATTTTGGTTACTTGAAGTAAAAATCCCATAGCAGCTGAAAATTGCAACAACAACAAAAGTTGTAAAGCAGCTGTTTTGGCAAAAGCGTTAGGAAAAAAGCCAACCCTTAGAACTCATTGCTTTGGATGGAATCTCCTGAGGAGGAGAACCATGCTGAAATGCACACCAAAGTTGGACACACAGATCTCTGAGGTGCATTACTATGTGTGAACCCTCCCTTCCCCACTAAAGGAACTTCTGTGTTTGTTCGTAAAAGGGCAGTTGGCAAATTGTGTTGTGGTTTACTGCTAAGCTGCAGTATTTGCATTCTGAGACCAAACATGTGACATTCTTTTTGATAAGTTTTTATCTGTGTGATGTTTTGGGCTTTTATTTTTGAATGCTTCTTCTGTGTAAGGTGATGTTTTTTTTTGGGGGGAAGAGGGGGGGGGGGGGTATTTTTTCTTGTGTAATGTATTATGCTTTTGTTTGTGAATGCTTCTTCTGTGTTATGTGATTTTGTTGTTGTTGATAGTTTTTATCTGTTTGTTGCTTTTTGTGAATGCTTCTTCTTTGTTGGTTATGTGATTTTTTTTTTTTTTTTCTGGGTGATATTTTGTGCTTTTGTTTGTGAATGCTTTTTCTGTGTTGGTTATGTGATGTTAATTTTGACAGTTTTTGTGTGTGTGATATTTTATGGTTTTGATTGTGAATGCTTCTTCTGTGTTGGTTATGTGATGTTCTTTTTTTTTCTTTACAGTTATCTGTGTGATATTTTGTGCTTTTGTTTGTGGCTGCTTCTTCTATGTTGTTTCTGTGACGGTTTTCGTTTCTTGGATATCTTCTTTAGCATGAGAAAGTATAAATATTTGTGCTGTATTTTGTAAGGATTTGTTTTCAAGCAAACTGATTATAGGTAGCTTTCACAATAATTTATAGGAACCACACTGGTGTAGTAGCTAGTTGTTCTGCTTACGGGCCAGAAGGTCTTCGGTTTGAATCTGCATTGAGAGATTTATTTCAGAAAATTACATTGGTTCTTAGGTCTTCCATGCCTAACATTCCTAGAAAGTACAGACGACCAGCGTCATGTTGACCACATCACCCATTGAAGGAGTTTTGACAGATCTGAGTAATTTGTGTGCAAAACATTGGTTCCTTGTCTCTCAGGCAGATGTATTCTGACTTTGAAGGAAGCTCCCAGTTAGTTGACACTTACGTCATGCTTTTGGAGAGGCAGTGGGTCTATTCTTGTTTTCCCTTTAATAGGGCCCAGGAATCCACACAGGGAAAAAATATGATTCTTACATCATGTGTCTGATGCATGATTGATGTTAAATTGTTCCTTTACTGTTATTTTACCCATATTTTTATCGGTCAGTCAGTATTCAGTGGGTGGTCAATTTCTTGTTGGCCATCACTATTGTCAAGTTTCCATCTTAGATTGTGTTGACCTGAGAATTAGGTCACACTTTAACATCTGCCTTGATGGAAATTTGAACCTGTACCTCTGTAGTTCTCCATTATATTTCTTCTTCTTAGTGTTTACTAGCTGTAAACTCTTGGCAGCAGGTTCTGGTTGTTCATCCAACTCTAGACTTTGGTCTTGTTACAGAACTTGAATTTTGCTTGCACGTCCATTTTACAGATCTGGCTTATTTGTATGCAGACTCTTGCTTCCTTGGCTCTCAGAGAGCACTCTGACTTCGGAGGAAACTTCCCTAATCAGACAGCTTGTATGACATGTTATAGGGCCAATGGGTCTATTTTTTTTTCACCCCAGAATAGGGTCCTGGTACCCACACAGGGACATTATATTTGACTAGGGGGAAATTTTTTTTCTTTTCAGGTCCTGGCATAGATGTGCCAGCTCCTGATATGGGAACAGGGGAGCGAGAAATGAGCTGGATTGCAGACACATATGCCAACTCGTTAGGTGAGTGGGAAAACTACATATTCTTTTATCTACTTCTGGAAGGTTCTGCAGCATCAGGACAGGAAGAGATCTGTATGGGCTCTTCTTTTCTCTTTGTATATAGTACTTTTCAGTGTCTGCAATATTTCTGCAGTCTTCCTAGTGGTTGATCTCTGGCTCTTTTACCACTGTATCTGTGAAACATTGCTCTCTGTGGTGCCCTGACAAAAACTACTTATCTCATGTAGAAGTGTATTTGGCTGCTGTTTGTCAATTCTTTTGGAGTTTGCTGGCGAGAGGGGGCATTTGTTGAAGTATAATACCAAGTCAAATTGGTAATCATTTATGTCTGCTCACAGCCTTCTGTTTTATGTACATCAGTAGTTTCTGATACAGATATTCTGTAATGTCATTATGCCAAACTTTCCATCAAGCCATGGTCTTCCCCTGCCTTATCTTTCCTATTATCACAGTGTTCTCCTGTTTCTCTTCACATATGCTCCAAGTATGTGTATATTGCCTGATGGAGGTAGTCAGTTCTGTTTGTGAGTTTATTTATATCAAGACATCTACATTATGCTTTAAATCTGTTCTTGTGTGTTCTCATATTTCTTCTCTAAAACCATATCTCTGCAATTTCCACATAATTTGTCACTTATCAACTGGCTGTCCATGATTCACTTCTATACATAAGATTGGCACCATATAGTTCTTTGTTATCGTCATGTAGTCAGCCCTTTGCTGAACTTTGCTCTCATAGCAGCCTGCTTGTTAGAAACTCAGTCCTTCCTTTTTTTTAATATTTTTTTTTAAACCTTTTTCAAGATTTTATTCTTTACCTTATTGCCTCATTTCATCCCTACATCTTACTCCTTCGTCATTTTGTTTCTCTGTTACTTTTTCTGCCCCACTGTCATTCTTATTTGTCTGTCTGTGTAACATCTCTCCGTGGGGGTGGGGGGCCTTTCTCTAGATGTCATTCTTAATTATTCCCTTCTGCCTCATTCCATTCCTATATTGTCTTCTTTCCCATACCTTTTTATTCTTCCCTGTCCCACTTCTCTCAGACTCTCCATCTGTCCATATTTCACTGAGTTTTTCTCCTCTCTATCTTCTGCTTTCTCTCAGTCATCACTCTTCCTGTGTCACCTCTTTACCTTTCTGTCTCTGTCCATCTGTCTGTTTTTTGCTCTCTCTCTTTCTCACAGAAACACACTCTCTCTCTCTCTCTCTCTCTCTCTCTCTCTCTTTCTCACATACACTTGTTCTCTCTCTCTCTCTCTCTCTCTCTCTCTCTCTCTCTCTCTCTCTCTCTCTCTCTCTCTCTCTCTCTCTCTCTCTCTCTCTCTCTCTCTCTTGTTCCCCCTCCCCTCATACTTCAGTCATCATAAAATGGACAGGCAATATTTACTCTCCACAAACAGCAGGACTGAGATCGACAACTGCTGAGCTGTCTGTTTTTAACTTGTTTGTTTTCACCTGAGCGATCACTGAACGCCATACTGGTTTTCTAGGTCACGGAGACATC